CTTTTGCGCATTGTTCTTGTTCTGTATATATATTAGAACAAATTAGTATAACAAAAACGCATTGTATCTTGGTGAATTAAGGAGATTGGATTTGATTTTATCCTTGTATTATATGTTTCCAAAACAAACATAATCATGCCAATTTTGATTCAATTTACCTTGCACGATTTGGATATGATTTGTCAGCCTAATTGGATTTGATTCCTACAAAAATCAGATCAAAAATCAATCTTTTGTATTTTTTGCAATTTATTTGATTTAATTTGAATTTTAAATAATAAGAAATCAAAATAAAATAAATAATGAAGCAAATAAAGTGTAGATGCTGATTTGGGTCGTGGACCATGTCACAAGCAAGATGCAATCATGAAATGCTAGGCCCATTTGACAAAAAATGTATTTTTGAGCACATTTGACTTTTTGCAATTTTGCAAAAATGGTCAACTTTGACAAGGCATATCTCTTCCAATTTTAACCCTAGAGAGGTGTTATTGGACTTTTTAGAAATCTTAGGGTGTCCTCTAAATAAACCTTTTGGTTTCATCTCAATTGAGTCTTCCATGTTCATATAAGAAGATTTGACCCAAAAGGTATTTTTGTTGACTTTTCAAAAGGATCTATAATATAGAAATTCATATATTTTGATGAGTTCATATTTTGAACTTGTGGGATGAATATTAATTGTAGGGAATTTCATCCTCTTCAAAATGAGCTTTGGATGAAATTTTTTTGATAAAGTATGAAGAAGTTATGTTTGGTCAAAGTTTGGTTGACTTTTCTTGAGAAACCCTAATTTAGCAACTTTTGGGTTTTGATGAATTTGGGGAATTACTTGAGGAATCATGGTCAACCCTTGATCAAATGATGGAAATCACTTCAAAATGTTGATGTTGACCAAAAATCTTGAAGTTTGACTGTATGTTGGCCACAGTTGACTTTTGACCTAGTACAATTGATTTTCGGGCATCTGAGCAATTGACTGAGCAAACTTCTTGTGCAAGGCATGAAACTTGACATGGATGATCTTGATAACATATTAGGACCATGAAAAGCATGTGGGACTTTTGAAGTTCACACATCTTGATGAAAATGGAAACCCTAGTTTGAGGTACATTGCCTTAGGAGAGAGTTTGTCTGGTCAACTCTAGGGCATCCTTGAGCAAATTGAGGACCTCAATTGGCATGTGTAGAGTAAAATGAGAGGGAAAATTTTGGGGTACAAAAAGAACCGACTTGGGATGTTTTGCGTTTTATCGCCATTGTTGCGGATAGCAAGAGTCGCCATCGACTTTTCTTTTATCCAATAAGGAAAGGCTGAAAAGAACAGGAAAGACCTTTCGAGATTATTTCTTGAGTTCGTGGGGGTAGATTATGAAAAGGGAAGGTATTAGCACTCTTTTCATCCATAGTTATTTACGGGCTCTTAGTTTCTTTCTAGATCACTTACTTTTGTTTGAAAGTATGCTTTATGGTGTGGTTTTGAAAGTATTTTGAAAACGTGCCTTTGTAATGATTCTCGTTTCTATAAGAACGCGTACAAAATGTTGTTTGAAAAATAATTCAAAGAAGTGTTTGTGTAATGTGTTTTTGAAAGTGATTTTAAAAAGGGTGTCTTTGTAATGGTTCTCGTCTCTATAAGAACGCATACAAAGAGTTGACTTTTGAAAATATTTCAAAATGAAAGTGTTTGGTGTATGAAATGTTTTTGTTGTGAGCAAGCAGGCAATTAGGAGTAATCTACCTACTCAAAAGGTCTTAAACGTTCTTTTCCTCCTTCTTTAGATGTTTCTATCTTACCATTGATTTGGTAAGAAGCCACATCATTGGATGTGAAGGGATGGCGTGGGTCATCATATAGTCATGATAGCAATGTTGTGAGATATCTTAGCATTTTTGTTGAGGGACTAAGATCATTTGTAAGGCAACATTCGAAGCGTCATCGAGGGACTATGATCTTGTATTTTGATTGTTTTTGCTAAGACGCCTCACATGCATAACATGATCATTTTTTATAAGGCAACAATTGGAGTTAACCGTAGAGGTGCATGTGTGCAAAGTGTGTTTGATTGCATGCATTTTGGTCTTTTGATCAGGGTGGTCTACTTGTTGATTTTATCTTGTCATACACCCTAATTACTAGCATTTTGTATAAAGTCAAAAGTGCAGAAAGATAAAATCCTACACTATTACAACCATATTGAATTGCATGAAAATATAAAGGCAAAAATAAGGTAAAAGCAAGAAAAATGGATCTTTCGATTTAGAGCAGCAAACCCTTTGATTCTGTACTTTCTGACTCTCTTTGATCTGGCCTTAAAAGGGGGTGAAGGAATGACTTTCGATTGGGGCCTGGAGGCCAGCATGTTGTATCTTTCGTTTGGGGTCTGGAGGCCAGTATGGAAGCCAAATGCTTCATTTCCAACTTCTTGTTTCTTGTTTCTTTCGTTTGAGTTTGAATAGCAACATGGCCTAACGCCATGCTAACATCACCTTAGGGCCAGATTAGTCTTTGAAGCATGTTTAAATATACAAAGAGCAAAAACCAAGAAGGTTGTTAACCATGAAACGTATTAAAAGGATGGAAACGAAAAGAAGAGCGGTAATATGTACATGTTTGAAACGAAAAGGAACTGTATCTACATGTTATGCAAGAAACGAAGAGTTCAAGGTTTAGAATAACTTATCTTGCTGTAGGCTGGAGCATGGGCTGGACCTTCAAGTGACTGAACTAAAAGCTTCTGGATTTGAAGGAAAGAAACAAGTGTGGTGTTCCTTTGACTGGATTCGAAGGTCAGGAGGTGTGAGGGTGGTGTTTATTATCTCTGGAATCGAAGGAGAAGAACATGTGTAGTGTTCTTTTTATTGGATTCGAAAAAGGAAAGAAACATGTGTTGTGTTTCTTTAGATTATGGGTTTGAGAGTGTATTTAGTGTTTGGGAAGCTTGAGAGTTCGAGAGTTTTTTTTTGAAGGTTCTTCCCACACAGCCAAAATCTGCCAGTGTTTTCTCCTGTTGCCTTTCAGCCCCTCAGCGTCTCCAGCCCCCTTTGATGTGCAAATGAACTCTCTATTTATAGAGAATTTTTTTTGAATGAGCAGCTTTGTGAAAGAATAAAATACAGTTTCTTTGAAAGACCAACATCCACTTGTGTCAAATTTTTATAATCTCAAGATAAAAGTACCAAAATTAATGGTTTAGATGGGTGACTCCTAGTTTATAGGGGGGAAATATGCAGAAGAGACATGTGTAAGACTCAAAAAACTTTCTAAAATGGTAGTGATGTCATAAAGAGTAAGTTGGCTTGAAGAACAATTCAATATAGAGTGAGGCTCAAGTTGGAGGCCTATGTAGCCTGGCCTATGGACAACTTGACCCTTTGAATCGAATCCTTCATTTTTCCATAACCTTCGAGCAGACTCAACAAAGCAACATTCGTTTCCACCAGTTGTGTGTCCTTCGAATGAACCAACTGTGTGTTCTTCGAATGTCCCTCTTCAGCTGAATATGCCATGTTGAGTCCTCTTGTTTTTGATCACTTAGGCCCAAACCTTCGACTAGACTCCAAAGTAAGCAAAAACAAATATTCCCCAACTATGGAAAGTCCTTCGAATGGGCCACCAAGTTGTGTGTCATAATGCAGCACTATGGCGTTTTGAAGAGTTTGCAGATGGACTCGAAGGTGATATGAAGGCCCATTCAAAGCAAACATGAAAATAAAATCGAAAATCACATGAAGGTAGCCATTCATCCAATCGAAAGCTTATGAATCTAAGGCAAACAAGTGAGAGGACAATGGTGCAATCGAAGCTTGCAGGCAGGAGCCATTGTCCAAATGAAGCTTGCATGCAAGAGCTATTTTTAGTGCATCAAAGCAAACCTGCAGGAGGTCAAATGCCCAAATGAAACTTATGGACCAAAGCTTGATCAAAGAAGCCAGATGCTCAATCGAATAATGTAAATCAAAGCTTGCATCGAAGTAGGCCCAAATGTTCAATCGAAGCGTGAGGACCAAAGCTCGCTCGAAGAAGGAAAATGCTCAATCGAAGGATGTAAATCAAAACTTACATCGAAAGAGGCCCAAATGCCCAATTGAAGGATGAATCAAACTTGCTCGAAAGAAGCCTAGATGCCCAATCGAAACTAGTATGAATCGAAGCAAGCTTGTTTTTCTTCAATTTTGTCAAGAAAATCAGTTTCTGCTTTGCCTTTTTTTGTCTGTTTTGTACAAATTTGAGCTTTTTGAAAATCCTTGTGATAAAATGTCTTGAGAAAAGAGAGGACAAATTTTGGAGTACAACACCGTTGAAGTTTGTTCACATGTTGTAGTCGAAGTCGATGTATGTTAGGAGTGTTAACATGTCGAAATGAAAAAAAATAAAGAATAGCCGTTTATAAACAATTCATTGTGTTCTTCTTGTTTACCTCTTTCCTATCTTTGTGGTTTTCTCACCGATCAAAAAATCTGTCATACTTTGCTATTCCAGTATCGTATTTTACAATAAATTTGATGATTATCATCTATACAACCAAATCTTTTTTCCTAGATTTTTTATGCAAATGAGGCTTTAATTTCTAGTTCACTGATGTATAAAACCGCAAAGATACGCTCTAAGAATTTTTTTTAATTACTTTTGAAAGAAAGGCCAAAACCGTTTGTTAGTTCAATGATTTGCCGGATAAATGCTTGAATGTTTTCTTTAAAGGACTAAAACAAAATGTGTTGCAGTTAACTTACCATGAACTTCAAAGAGGACCACTCTGCATGCAATGTAGAAAAGGAAATCAAGTTTCAAATACATAAATGGCTTATTAATTAATGAATAAATTAAAAACTCAATTTAACAGACATCCCAAGAGGACAACACAAAGTTATAAAACAACTTTTAGTTGCTTTCAATACACGTTTACCATGAAACCAAGCTCTATATTCACAACAAAAATAATAGCTATATATTTAATAACATAGATCCCTAATCTTACATGGTTATATGATAGTATTTTCTAAACTCCAACCGTAGCATCATGTGACACAATCTCAGGTGTAGTAGAATTTATAGACAGAGTTTGATCATTTGCAGAATGATCTGTCTCAGACTGTTGCTCCATGTCATTTGTGCATTCTTCATTGCTTCCTTTGGTTTCATTTTCTTGACACTTCACTTTATCTTGATTTTTCATGATTGGTTTCTTCGAAATCACATCTTTATGACCCTTTATGATCTTTGCCTTGTCTGAATCATTCTGCTGTTGATTCCCACGTGCACTTGAATAAGAAGACTCTTTGTTCCTTCCAAGCTTTGGAGATCTTGGCCGGGTTGTTGGTATCTGATTGGTACATACATGAGATGCATCACAAAATAAATGCAAGGAAAAATAAAAGGAATGCATACAACTAGGACCAGAAGGTAGAGCCGTCTTTGAGGATGTGCATAACAGACTATCTCACACTACCTAAATTTGTCACAGTTAAACTGTGACTAAATAAAACTTCATAAAATATTGTCACTATTAAATCATGATTAAATAAGGTCTCTATATTTTTATCCTGATTAAACTGCGACCAACCTACATAGGTCCTAAAAAATTTGAGACAGACATGTGATGAATTAGTTATACCTTCTTTAGCTCAAGTTTTGGAGGTGGTTCCTTATAAAAATTAGGCATTAGAGTGGCTTTGAAACTCAAACTCTTTCTCAATTGTTTGATCTCTGCCTCTTGGTTTTCCTGACAACAAATATATTACTTGATGAATGAAGAATAAACCTCATCATCCATAAATTGATCAAACAAAAGACTACAAATGAATGACAAAAGAGAAAAGATTATCATATATACCTTTGATTTGACTTGTTGATTGGATTTTTCTGCTTCCTTGGCTTGAACTTTTTCCTCCAACTTAGAGAAAAACTGAGAAAAAAAAAACCGACAAGGATTAATTGACATCTGAAATTTGTTAAAGTAACATAAATAGGGTGTAATGTAAGGTTTAATTTACAACCTCCTTCCTCTTTTCAGCTCTTACTTCCAATCTAGATGAAAATCCAGAACATATGTTTCTCTGATCAACAGGTCTGCAATAATATAAAACCATAAAGGTTTACTGAAAACAAGTACAAAAAAATCTTAAGACTCAAATGAACTGTGAAAAATGAGGAAAGATCGTGTCGTAACGAGACACATGTTGGACACCGAGTTTCAAATGTCTGTGCTCTATAGGTTGGGACTTACATGGATGCCTCAGATGTGTGACTCTTGTGGACTGCACCAAGTGAAGTAGACCTTCCAAACTAGCCATAGAATAGAAAATATTGTTATGAACATGGAAAACAATGTGAGAAGAAAAGAAGTTACTAGAAAGAAAGACAATGATGAAAAGGAATCGCTACCACCGATTTCAAACCAGGTATGGATGACAAAGTAGTCCTCTTATTACAACCTTCAGTGTTTGTTTTTGCCTCATTTGACTTCCCTTCAGAGTTTGAAGACTTGCTTGAATGGTGAAGATTGGAGGCTTTAACTTTGGTTTTAAAAAGAGAACCATCAATGCTTTTCTGCATAGAATCTTCACGAGTTGATTTGGCTGGGAAGGAAAAACTCTGAGAAAGTGTTGGCCTTTGTTTTCTAGATGTTGAAGTTGTTCCCTTCAAATTGGACTTAACTTTGACAAATTTGTTATTCTTGGAAGCTACACTTTCTCTACTATTTGTTTCCTAAACCATGTTAAAAATTTAATCAGAACAAGTTCCGTACTTTGTATAATATATAATGTGTTACACAGAGACACCACTTATCAACACTACATTGATACTAACACAAGTATATCGACACCAGTTATAATTTGAGAAAATAGAAGTAACATATCAGTATCATGTTAACATGTCAGACACCAGACACACATTTGTCATGAAGTATAATTTGAAGTAGATAGGTTGTAACCACTAAGAATCATTATCTGAATTGTATAGATATAGTTGAAGGTTAAAAAAAACAATTCTGATAAACTATGTTTAGTACCTTAGGATGTTTTAAGGCTTCAGATTCAACGGTGTCATTACTAGAAACATGGCTTTCAATCTTAGACGCTTCATTCTCATTATGAACTTCTTCACCGCAAACATTTGCATCTTCTTTGTTTATATCCTTCTTATCTGTCACACCAAGTACACGCTTCTCTTCCTCCAGAGCAACCTCATTCTCAGAATCCATTATGCTAAATGAATTAAAAGATTGAGTTATGAAGAAAATTGGTAGTGCAAAAAAGTGAGTAGAATATGGGTTATTAAGTGGTGGATTGTGATAGTTTGAAGCAATTAAGGTGAAGTAGGTGATGGTGACATGAGAAAGAGAGATGTTTGTGTGAATGAAGAAGAGGAAAAGATAGATAGATTAATAGTAACTGTTACAAAGACTTTGCCACCACTTTCTAAATTATGTAACTGTCACTACAAGCAAACTTGTATTTTTAGTTTTCATGTTAATGGTTACATAGGTGAATCAAAAGTGGGAAACAAGAAGTGACATTTGTCCTATTTCTTTATTTGGTAATATGTCTCTTTATTATATATTTGGTTGACGGGTTAAATAAGTGATTAATACTAATCCCTGTCTGTATGCTTATGGAGTAATTAATTAATCACCATAAAATTGAATTAGTCATGATGATATTATTATGGTTTTATGTTTCTTAAACCATCTCTTAGGCACGTCTTTAAGAAAGAAAACTGTGTGAGATAATGGGAATGGTGTTGGGATGACGTGGCAGGATGAAGCAAAATGATTGGTGGCACGTTAGGAAGAGAATGAGAGGTACCCCATGTAGTAACCGTACGTGAGCTGTCAGAACGTGCGGTTTCTTTATGAATCATGATCCTAAGTACGATCCTCTCTGATGAGACTGTCGTAGGGGCCAAATTACTCTCTACGTTTCGGGGTCCCATCATCAGTTATTTTTTACTCACTCCTTCTCGTAAAAATCTCATAAAAAATATTTCATTTGTATTTTTTTTTTGCTCATCCTCAAAATAATTTATCTTTTTTATAATTTTAATTAGAGATGTTAATTTATATATGTTAATAAAAGTTCTGTGGGAATTATATATTTAAAAGATCAAATTAAGAATTTTTTTCTCAGTCAGAACGGGAATGGAGTGAAAATTCTTTGGATGATACTTTGTGGTGAAGATTGGAAAAGTATAGTTCTACTTGTAGATTTTTAGACACCGATCATATTATTTAACTTTTATATTTTATATTTATAATATATAATTATATAATTTTACATAAAAAATATTAATGTATTAAAAAATGAAGACTCATTAGTGGATTATATTATTTTTCCACTACTATACTCCTATTTATTAACTTTCAATTAATTCAACTACTCTATTGACTTTAATTAATGAGGATATTCTAGTAAGTGACATTAGTTTTATCATTAAAATCAATTCATCCAATCATTTTCTTAAGGGTATGTTTGTATTGATGAGAATGGATGGAATAGAATAGAGTGGAATGGTGTCATGTTTCATTGTTTGGTTTTATAAAAAATGAATGGAATGGAATGGAGTGTGATGGAATTCATTCCATCTAATACCACTATTTTAGTTCATTTTTCATTTCATCCAAATTGGGGTATATCCAATGGAATTGAATAAATTAGTAACATAATTACAAATTTATCCTCCAATTTTTCACTTCATTATATTAATGTTTTTGAAGTAAAAGAAAAAAATGAAATAAAAAGATTATAATGCTTTTCACTCCGTTCAATTTCCAAATAGTGGAATGAGATATTAGTTTCACCCCGCCGTAAAATATCCAAACAATGAAATGGAGTTTACGTCCCGTTCCATTTCGCCCATCTCCGTTAGTTTTAAGTTATCCAAACAAACCCTAAGAACCACACATTACTCAAATATGACACTTTTATGAGACGGGGGGAGTATTTTGCTTGTGTATCATCATATCCCCGTGAAACCAAATTATATTTCCTCAAAAATTTGTTTTTAAACTCTACAACAAACCCTAAAGCTTCTGACAACCCATAATCAATAAGGATTGTAACGTATTTTACTTTTAGCAAGTATAATTAGCATTTACTGTGGGCCCTGGTAAAACTCACACGACCCACAATTATACTTCCTCTATAACAAATTATAAGTGAATTTTACTTTTTAGATTCATTGAATAATTGATGTATTTGGTCTATTGATGACACCAAAACACACTGGATATTTGACTCGGTTTACACATGTTTTCTTGTTGTTTTGTCTCCATTTTTAGTATTATATGGGTATTTTGTCCGTGTTTCAAGTAATTGACCAAATAAGAGTCGTACGCAAAGAAAAGAAGTAAACCAGATGAAAATATGGCATTTTACACTCAAGGCGACTACCATGGCATTCACCATAGAGGTGGCCATGAGTGGTCCACGACCTAACTGGTGCAAATACCAAGTCCTAGCCCCTATGTGAGCATGGCGTTCGCCACAAGTTGAAGACGCAAGGCAATTACAATTTTTGGGTTGTTTGGTCATGCATTCACTCCACTCGTCCCTAAATTTTCTCCCACGACTTTGGCAACTTCCCACTTGATTTTTAGGGTTTTAGAACTCTATAAGTAGGTCTCTTATTCACTTGTTTCAACCATCCAAGCTTAGTTACAAACTTAAGCCATATACTGTTGAATTTTGTAAGCGATTAACTCTTCACATCAGAGAGTTATCATACCATTGATTGTGTCTGTAATCGAGTTTAGAGAAACCTTTATCGATGTTTTAATCTTGCCATCAATTTACTTTCCACGTTCAACTTTCAACAATCTACTCTTGTACCAGATTAAAGTCTCTTCGGAACAGGTTTTTATTTATCGCATTATATTTATTTTATCATCTCTTTATTTAATCGCAGGATCTTCTTCTACCTTTCTTTTAATTTCATGTTTAAAGTTTATTTTAATATGTCTACAATGCTTTATCACATGATCAAATCAATCGTTTTAGTTTATGTTATAATCATGTCTAGCTAAATTTATAAGTGTTAGAATGTGAGGGTCGTCGATTCAACAATACTCTTAATTGTTGTTCTTTGAGAAATACTATTGGAGTTGTTTTGATTTTAATCACAACCTTTCTAAACTTAACTTTGTCGGTTGCTACAAAAGTAGAACCATTTATATGTCGGGTAAGATCGAAAGTCGTTGTCTGGTACAAAAGATGAAGGTTGTTTAGTTTTTAATTGATAAAAACCGCGAAATCTATTTGTTAATTAATTAGGAAAATTAATATTTAATAAAGTACTTTTGAACCTATTTTCAGACGCGTTTGTAAGTTTAAGGTACGGTTGGCCGGGGGAACGTCGGGAACCTTTTAAAGCATTATTTTCCAATTAAAACTATTTTTCATCTGAGTAAAAGAGTTTAATTTCTTAAAATAGGTTTTACTTCTTTAACACAAACAATGAATACCACCGTGACAGTGGACGATATAATTTAGAGTAAAATTCGGTCTTGAATACGCGATAGCGACAATTTCTGTTCAGTTAATTCTTTTCAAAGCATAAAATATTGTCCCATAGTAATTCAATTTATGAACAACGAGTGTTCGATGAACTGATGAGATACATATTCCAACATTGCATTTCTGATACTAATTCAAGTATTTCATTTACTTTATTTCCATAACTTCAACCTTTATTTTATTAGCCTTAGATAAACATTGTAACAATAGAAAATGATAGTTTGAATATTAGGTCTATGTGGGTTCGACACTCTTTATATTACTCTGATACTTTTCGTGCACTTCCGAAATACCACATCAAGTTTTTGGCGTCGTTGTCGGGGACCAATTACGTTAATTATCGTAACTCTGTTGTTAAACTGTCTAGACCAAGGCACATTCTTTGGTAAATGCAAAGAACTCGAAGTACCAGAACTTTAGAAGATCCAATAGCCGAACCAGAAAGATACCCATGTGCGAGACTTTTGCTCTGATGAATCCGAAGAGCAATGGCAAACGACCAAGACCGTAAGCCACTTAAGTAATTCACCTTATATTCTAACTAAGAACCTCATTCAAGTATTCTCAACCCTATAATTTTGGATAACAATTTTGAATTGAAACCCACTTTGTGCAAATCGTGCAACATAACCAATTCGTTGGTCTTACAAACCGAGAATCTGAACCAACACTTGAAAGTGTTTATTCAACTAGAAGACACATTGAAAAGCAATGGTACTCCTCTTGAGGATATACATTTACATTTATTTCCTTTCTCCCTTAGAGATAGAGCAAGAACATTGCTAAACTCTCTCCCAACAAATTTTATTACCACTTGGAATGGCTTGAAGAAAGTATTCCTTGCTAGATACTTTCCACCTAGTAAAACCATTGTCTTGCGAAACCAAATAACCCGATCTACTCAATAAGATAGTGAATCTCTTTTCGACGCTTGGGAAAGATACAAAGAGCTGTTAAGAGTCTGTCTGCACCACAGACTAGAACAATGGATAATCATTCATACCTTCTATAATGCACTTCTTTACAACACAAAGATGACCATTAACGTTGCCGCTGGCAGTGCACTGATGAAAAAACCCTTACCCTAAAGTCTGCACACTCATAGAGGACATGGCACAAAACCATTACCAATGGGGAAATGAATGAATAATAGTATAGAAGAAAGAAGCAAAAGGAGGTATACACAAAATCGGTAGCCTTGACCATATGAATGCCAAGATAGGACACCTTAGCACAAAAGGTTAAAAACTTAGTCGTAAATCCTCTAAGTACCACAACTGAAATATACACTGAATGCAAAATCTATGAAACTCAAGCACGCATCACAATTGACTGCAGTCTAATGGCTGAACCAAGCCCAAATTAGGTCAATTATGCCTAAGGAAACCAATATTCAAATACATACAACCCTAGAAGGAGGAACCACCTGAACTTCTCTTATAAGAATAATAACCCTATCCAAAACACCCCACCTCAAAGACCACAAGGTTTTCAAGCTCAAAGACCAACACAACCTACTCAAGTTGTACCCCATAAATTGAACCTAGAGAAAATTATGGAAAACTTCATTTCAACTCAGACTTAGCAAAACAAAGAATTTATGAATAAAAATGTTTATATAAATGAGTTTATTATGCAATTAGGAAAGAAAGTCAATTCAGTGGTAACCCATAACAAGATGCTTGAAACC